ATTTTTTGTGGTAGTTTAGTTTAGATGGAAGTGTTTTTTGTTGGATGATTGAGACGAAAAAGAGGGTTGGTTGGTCTCATGAAATCTGATCGCAACTGCAGCCATTCAACAAACAAAACACTTATCATATTGCTGATCTAAGCATCTCAATTTCTTCCAACTCTCGATCAACATGGAAATCCCATTCGAACTCGTCTTTTGTTGCTTGCTTTTAGATGAGATAAATGCAGTTGTGCACGCATTTTACGATTGGAGGGCGCCAGCAGTTAATTACAACATCTGACTACAACACTACGAGTTTATAACAAGTAAGCACGAAATTGTGTAATAGTTCTAAACGCATGATCTCCCTCAAATGCCATCTCGAAGGCATTAAAAGTACAAAACGGGAAATTTTTCATCAGAAAACCAACTGAATTAATTGTGGAATAGCCAAAATATTCCTCGGATTTTGGTCAAAGAACGAGATTATTGATTAATATGAGTACTCAGCACAGTCACATTTCAGAATGAATTCATCGCATTCTTTCGTTATTTTCAATTAACGATGCGTTTTCGAGACGAAACAGGATGCGAGGAAATGCTTTCCAATACAGATGACAATTCTATTCGAACAAAATAATACTGATCATGTTCTCCTGAACGCTGCTTCCCGTCTCGTCTCAATTACAGTCACTTTTTTGCAATCGTGGAGCAATGATTATTTTGGTTTACATTTTGCTATTTAAAGCTTAATTCAAGCACGTGATAGAGAAAATTTTGTTGAAACATCGAAATACTTTCTTCTATTAGAGCAAAGAACGTCCACCTTCTCCTACTCAACATACTCTGATAAATGATAAATGATGAATTATGAAGGCTTGAGAATTACTGTGGGAATAATGTTATCATATCATTTATGTTCACGATGATTCAATACCATTGCAATCACAACTTCAATTCTTGCCACTTTCACCGCATAACAACTGATAATAATAATAGCACAAAATTTATTTGTATGCCCAGAAAATTGTCCAAGGTAAACTTTTACACCTGTTCGTCATAAANAACTTGAATGAATCTCACCTGGATGCACCAGATGTTAGCTGACAACTGAAATAAACTGACGATCAATTAAAAGATTCAAATTGAGAAGTTTATGAGCTCACAATTAGAGCGTTTCGATTCGAAAATTGTTCCATATGAACAGAAAAGATAATAAATCTTTAAAAAAAAAGCTTTAGCACAAACCTTTACTGCGATCAATCAGAAAGCATCACAATAATTATATTTAATCGACGACTGTAAAACTATAAAACACCATAAAAACACAATTATCGAGGCAATTAGCACGACCAGTATTCTCAATTTGGTACTGACAATGGAGATAGATTTTTCATAATCAGCTGTTTACGTTCTCATAGCAGTTTGAAAGAAGCCATCGCTTCTCAGTCAATTAGTCGAAGGGAATCTTTCCCAGTTGCAAGCGCATTGTTCATAGAGTACGCTAAGCGAGCAAAAGAAGAGCAAATTAATACAGATAAAACACATGGAATCATAAAGGTTTAATGATATTTTGTGAACATTAAACGTTCGTTGACTAGATATTCAATCTAGTTGGCATGTGCTCGATGACATTCGAAACGATATATGGATGTATGTCTTTATGCATGTTTTACAATACAATATTTGCATCAATCAATTTCTGAAAATTTTCATCAGTGCAAATGAATAGAGTGCAGATGGTTTCGAAATGAATCGTTTACAATACACCATTAAAAAATTCTTTACAATTCATGACGGAAAAATCTTCTACAATTCATAATAGAAAATGATGTTGCAATCTGCTAAAACTGGTATCCATTATGTTAACCTCTACGCGAGGATGTTCGTTTCCTCTACGGTCTAGACAAAAGAAGGGATATTTCGAATAAAGAAGGGGAAGGGGCCTGATCCACATAAAATCGAACGTGACCAATCAAAATCTTTTAGTTGTCACCTTTAAATTAAATATTGCCTTTAAAATGGATTTAAAGATACTTATAGGTATTTCGAGGGGTTTCGAGAGCAAAAGCTCTAAGTAATACTTCAAGTTGCTTGCTAGTTAACCAATCAAACACCACTCTTACATATTGCACTCACGTTTCAATAGCAGAAAGTAGGCTGAAATAATGTTGTAGTATTTAACTGAATCAGATAATTTTTTGAGGCTTTACATTAGAAAATTTCACATTTCTGTGAGATGGCATTAGGTAATCAAATATAATACATCTAATGGCATTGTAAATGCGCAAAATCCCACTGAAATCTGACAGATAAATAGAACGGAAATGACTCATTTTTCTCGCAAATTTCATCGAAAATTGCAAACCCGTTCATGATTTCAAAACGCTAAATTGCAGTGTATATATTCATTCTCTGATATGACGGCACACTCCTTCGCAATGTTTCAAATGAATAATCATTTTGCACCCACCACCGAATTCTTGTTCTCATTTCGAAGAACATGAACATGAGTCATTCGGCAACAAACGCTCAGATTTATGCAAGCAGAGCAATTGTAAATCAACTGACTGGACGGACGTT